CCTGCCACGAAATCTGCACTTCGAGGTTCACCAAGTGCTGTGCCTGCCACGAAATCTGCGCTGCGAGGTTCACCAAGTGCTGCGCCTGCCACGAAATCTGCACGTCGAGGTTCACAACGTGCTGCGCCTGTCACGAACTCTGCGCGTCGAGGTTCACAAAGTGCTGTGCCTGTCACGAACTCTGCACGTCGAGGTTCACAAAGTGCTGCGCCTGTCACGAAATCTGCACGTCGAGGTTCACAAAGTGCTGTGCCTGTCACGAAATCTGCGCATCGAGATTCACAAAGTGCTGGGCTGTACCTGTCACGAAGTCTGCACCTCGAGGTTCACAAAAGCCACGATTCACTGCACCTGCCACGAAATCTGAGCTGCTCGACGATCACCACCATGTACAAAGTGCTGCGCCTGCCACGAAAACTGCAGTTCGAAGTAAAACAGCCCCGATCCCTTGCACCTGTCACGAAAAGTCGGCGGCTTTGAAGCACCAAAACAAGGCTTCCCTGCCACGAAAAGTGACCACCGTGTGCGAAAATGCGCACGGCACCACAACGAGAACGCAGTCGCTAGAAGCACCCCCCGCCGGCAGGCAGATTTTGCGAGCCTGCGCAGTCGAAGTGCACATTGACGAGATCGAGAACCATGAATGTACTGTAAAAAGCAGCGAATTAGCCGTTCACGCCCGCGCGCTTCAGCGATCTAAGCATCAGCTGCTTTTCACCTACCGTGAGAACCCCTAGTGTGTCCACTGTTTGGGGAAAAAACATATATATATATATATCATATATATCTTGTGTTCGGCATCTCATCTGAGAGTTGCTGGAGTGCGCAAGGGGTCCACCTCTACACATGGTTTGCACCATCACCAGGGCATTCAACGAAGGCCCGCTGCTGCTGAGGCGTCGGCCGCAAATCCGTGCGTCTTCCAGGGTTTCCAGCAATGGATCTAGTATGGGCCTAAGAAGCGACGAAGCGACTTGCACTCTAATTGCAGTGTTACTAGGAGCAAAGGGCATCGCTACTAGGAGCAAGAACGCTACTAGGGGCTCCTTTTTGCACTCAAACCTCATTCTCATAAATTCCCTCGATCCATTTATTGGAACACACTATTGGAAAGACTCTTTTAACTTTACACACGCGCGCCCCAAAAAAAACAAGATGGAACCCACGAACCCGAATGGAAACACGTTCGAAAAACTACATATGTCCAAATGACACTCTTGTAGGACACTCCGCGCGCCGGCCACGCGCACGTTCCCTTGCCGGAGGCCTTCGGTTGGTAACCGAAGGTTATATACGCTCGCCGCCCCTGCCGCCGACCCTTTTGTTGGACCCCCAGTATACCCCGTGTCGAGCCCAGCCCGACCCCCGGTCGACCCCCGCCCGAATCCGGTCGACAGATTTATATATGTATCTTGCGCAGGATGTTCAAAAACATCGGTTTTTACAGTGTTTTGTGGCCTTCGGCGTCCACGACTTTCGCCTAACAGGGCGCCCGTGGTGTCGGTTACGCGTGCCACGCGGACAGGCTTAATCGACATTTCGTGGGTGTTGGGCGCGCGCTAAGAGCAAAGGCGGAACATGTGCTCCAAGATGATCTGACAGAGGCCCTCAAGAGGACCCAACATAGTCCCAGATATGGCACACATAGCCGCAAGATGACCCGACCTACGTCTCAGATATGGGAAACATAGCCCCTAGATGGGCTAAGACTGCCTCAAGATGTGGCAACATAGTCGTCAGGAAGTCTCGAAAAGAGAGAGAGAGAGAGACAGAGACAGCGAAGACAGAGACACAGAAGACCGAGACAGAAACAGAGAAGACAGAGACAGACAGAGACAGACATAGAGACAGACATAGAGACAGAGACAGAGACCGACAGAGACCGAGACGGAGACAGAGACAGAGACAGACAGAGAGAGGGGAGGGAGAGAGCAGAGAGAGAGAGAGAGAGAGAGGTGTACCCGTGTAAGCCCGTATAATGCGACGGCTCACCCGACCTTCGGTGCGTTTTAGACGCACCCGGGCGGTCAGCCCCCTTCTTGCGAAGGATGCTGCCGGGACGCCCGAAGTCCCGGCCCCCGTCTTACACAGGGAGGGGTTGCAACGGTCCCCCACCGTCTGACCTTGTCCATGGTTTTCGCCTGGCAACGAGGCAACTCTGAGCGACACGGCCACTCGAGCCACCCAAAGACAACAAAGAGCAAACTGAGCGCTACCAGAACAAAACTTCCATGCTACACCACAACTAGACACAAAGAGAGCGCACAAAGAAGAAAACCGCCATGACAGTTCACATGTACAGACGTCGGTCTAACCCCCCTTTTTCTTTCTCTACTTTCAGTCTCTTCGACGGCGTGCTTTTTGCCGGCACCGCTTCTGCGCTGCTCGCTGGCAACTATTGGCGCGCTGAGCGATGCTCTGCGCGCTCTCAAGTAAGGACTAAGGACTGTTTAAATTCTGCCACTGAGCGATGCTCTGCGATCCCGCGGAGCGATGTTGTGCGGGTTCCCATCTTTTGCCACAGAAACTCGCAGAACCGTAGCTATCGCCCCTCAACGCATCAGCACACGCTGACTGCGTCCTTCGGCCTTCGCTGTGGCCTGCTGCTGTGCCGTCAGCCGCCGCCGCTTGCCACCATAGTTCTGCGTGGCAGTGTATGGATCCAAGTCAAACTTCCAAGGCCTCTTCGCAGACTCGGTTAGCAGTAATCGAGCCAAATTGCCTTGTTCCCTCAGGGCCGTGTTCACTTGCAAGCACACAGCTTGAAAACCCAACTTTTGCTCTGCTGGGGGCAACTCTTGGAAAACTGCTTCGCAGGCATCCATGACCATCCGCATCACGATCGTCCCATACAAACTGCTTTTCACGTACTGGTAGTTGTCGCCCTGGACGATCGCGAGGTCATACTTCGGCTCTGCCTCGTCGCCCGAGTGCACCGCCCACTTGACATTCACCTCCCCGGTGACATCCCACCAACTCGAAGGTCCACTGTTCTGCTGAGCGATGCTCTGCAGACTTGCTGGAGCGGGGTTCAATGCTATCAGTGCCTTCGCCAGACCTCGCCGGTCTTGCGCGACGGCCAGCACCACCACTGTCGCGACCTTCACAAAGAAGTCTGCCGTATCCCCAGTGGCTTGCTGCACTGCCGCCAAAAGCCGTGTGCTCTCGTTGGCGACTGGCAACGTCAACTTCGCAGCTTCTTCCCGGCTTGCGGCGTCGGGCTCGCACCACACTCCCGCCTCGAAGGGCGCGGAAACACGGGCACGATAACCGGCACGGTTGCGGACTATTAGTTAGGAGTAGACTAACCTGAGAAGCTGCAAAACGAAAGCCAGCGCTTCCCTTTCTCGACAACTGCGCGTCGAAGCAAGCAAATGAGCTCGCGCAGCTGCTTGCGGCCGCGTGTCAAATCTGCTTCACGTCTTGTTCTGCCCACACAGAGGTAACCATGTCAAAACAAAAACCTGCGCTTCCTGGCAATTGAGGGATTCGGTGTCATTTTGCCCGGAAATTTCCTCTGCACAGGGGGGGGTTTGGATGGAATCCGATGTTATTTCCACTGTCTGTGCAGTTGTTTTTTGTGCTTTGCCAAGTGCGGATGGTACACTGCATCCACTGTGTTGCACATCAAGAGCACCCCAGCTTGCTTTACTCATTGTCCATTGCTTGATTCCTTGATCCAAAAAAGAAACACCTCTGAAACACTGAGCTGAAATGGACTGAACGTCAAATGTAACATGCTTGGAGCAAAGGTCAAGAGTTACAGGAACTACAATTTTGGTTTGAATTAGTTTCAAAAATGTCCGGTTGGACATGGAATGGGAGGTCTCACTGTGGGAAGTGCAGCATGGCCACATGAACGGGACTTGCTTTACAGGTTGACACTGGATCTGATCCACTAAGGTTGAGCATGACCCTACCTATGGTCTGGTTTTCACCAACTGTTGCTGGGTGCTCGATAATTGACATCACCGGTTCATCATTACACCCACAAGTGTGATAGACCTTCAGAAATGGCCAGTGAGCAATGGAGATACCAAAAAGTCCAAGGGGTACACTGTGTACACCGATTGAACTAATCATAGAAGTGGAAAACCACCTGTTGGGGCTATGCCATCCACTTCTATGCTTATTTCGGGGAGTGTGCACCTAGACATACCGCCTATAAACCCTAAGGGTTGGATTATGGAAACATATTGCATATGGACCCTTGACTGACCTTCCAAATCCTCACCTGAGTCCCCTTCAGGTGTCCACAGTCGACCACTCTGGTGCAAGCAGAAGCATGTCCACAAGATTGAATCCAGCCCTTGAACGTGCCCAAAACTAAGGTCAGGCAGGTGGTTTATTTAGTTTAGTTTTAATCCTATAGTCGTTTGCATGTTGCTCTGAAGCTAGCCTGGGTCCGTATAAATACTATGTTGCTATACCTCTTACACACCTACACAAGTTCAAAGCACGAATGAGACTTCAAAGCTGTGGATTGCTGCGCGTGTGTAGAGGCTATCGAGCGGTTGACGGAAAGGGAACTTGAAGTACTATACCTGGTAGCTGCAAGCAAGGTGCCAAATACACCTCTATTTTCAAGGTGGCCTGAACAGAGTGTTTCAGGGCAGCAAACCGTGGTCTCAGGCCACCTTGAATTTAGCTTGAAAACCACAGCTACATAGCTACCCTGGGTCTCTATACCTGGCAAGGTGCCAACTACACCTTTATTTTCAAGGTGGCCTGCACAGAGTGTTTTAGGGCAGCAAACCCTGGTCTCAGGCCACCTTGAATTTAGCTTGAAAACCACAGCTTTGAAGCCTCATGCGCGCCATACCTGGGAACAGAATTGTAGCTACAAGACCTTTATTTTCAAGGTGGCCTGAACAGAGTGTTTTAGGGCAGCAAACCGTGGTCTCAGGCCACCTTGAATTTAGCTTGAAAACCACAGCTACATAGCTACCCTGCGTGTCTATACCTGGCAAGGTGCCAACTACACCCTTATTTTCAAGGTGGCCTGAACAGAGTGTTTTAGGGCAGCAAACCCTGGTCTCAGGCCACCTTGAATTTAGCTTGAAAACCACAGCTTTGAAGCCTCATGCGCGCCATACCCGGGAACAGAACTGTAGCTACTTGTAGCTACCCTGGGTCCGTATAAATACTATGTTGCTATACCTCTTACACACCTATACAAGTTCAAAGCACGATTGAGACTTCAAAGCTGTGGATTGCTGTGCGTGTGTAGAGGGTCTCAAGCGGTTGACGGAAAGGGAACTTGAAGTACTATACCTGGTAGCTGCACTATGGCTACCCTAGGTCTCTATACCTTGCAAGGTGCCAACTACACCTTTCCATTCAGATGATGCAAATGATGCATTTGGCATTTCTTGCATCACCACCCCTCAAAAATCACCTCCAACACAACCTCAAAAAACCTTCCCTCGGAGCACCCTCCTCCCCCAGCATGTGCCGAGTTGACGTGTACCTTTCTCGGGCCACCCCCCCAGACCCCCTAACTACTCACTTCGTTCGCCAGACACAACTCCGCTAGCGCCTTCTACGAAGGCTGGCTTTCGTAACATATATGGAAAAAAAGAAAGAGGCACGAAACTGCTTGAACATGAATCCTCTGGACGATAAAGGCATATTTTTTTGGGGACAAGTTGCGATCGAACACGACGTTTGCCCTCTCTGGCGGCTTACTCACCAAGTGCGTTTCTTTTTTTTGTTTTCCTCTCCTACACCCGCCCTCCCCTCCGACCAGCTGCGTGGACACCAGCTCCATTGGTGCTGCTGGACTAGCCGCTGTCTCTGTGAACCAAAAGCTCTCGGTCATCCGGAAATGTTTCCGCTTTGGTGCTACTCGTATACGCTTGCTTCACTCTGTCTCGCTGACTCCCTCGTTCCCCACCTGCGCTCCACTGCGGCCGACGGCTCTCCCGACCTTCGGTGTGCGCAATGCACACCCGGGCGGTCAGCCCCCTTCTTGCGAAGGATGCTGCCGGGACGCCCGAAGTCCCGGCCCCCGTCGTACACGAGGGTGGGAGAGCGATGCTCCCCCACAACCTGATAGCAGGGATAGGGAAAGAGACAGGGACAGCTACCGACAAATACCGCGACGGAGACAGAGACGGACGGAAAGAAAGTGAAGACAGAGACACAAAAAGAGAGAGAGACAGAGAGAGATACCAGGACGAAGACAGAGACAGATACAGACAAAGAGGGAAAGGGAGAGAGAGAATGAAAAAGACAAAGCAAGAGCGACAGAGAAGAGAAAGTGCCGTGCCCTACACACACCCTATTTACGCGGCTTTTTTGGATCTTAGGGTTGGGTTCTCTGTCTCTCTTTCTCTCTTTTTGAGACTTGGTGGGGTCTATATTGAGCAAAGGTTCGCCATCTGGTGCGCATCTTAGCACTAGGTTGGGCCAAGTTGGGCCCATGTGGTCTATGTTGAGCACATCTTAGGCCCATGTTGAAACTATCTTACACCTATGTTGGCATATGTTGGCATGTGTTGTCCTGGGTTGGGCCTATGTTGGCGTACGTTGGCGTATGTTGGCCCCATGTTGCCCTCTGTTATCCCTATGTTGAGCCATCTTGGAAGGTATGTAGAGCATTTGTTGGGGGTATGTTGGCTATCTTAGGCCTATGTTGGAGATATGTTACGCAATTTATGTTCACAAACATCGTCCGCGACAACTTTTTTTGATTTTTCCTTCCCGCCAAGCGAAACCACTGAAAACAAACCCTCACCCTGCTTGGCCGGCGCCGGGCTGTCAGGCGTAAGCCTCTTAAATCTTGTGGGTCACTCTTGTAGGAAACTCTTGTGGGACACTCTTGTAGGACACTCTTGTGGGACACTCTTGTAGGACACTCTTGTGGGACACTCTTGTGGGACACTCTTGTGAGACACTCTTGTAGGACACTCTTGTGGGTCACTTGCATGACACTCTTGTGGGACACTCTTGTGGGACACTCTTGTGGGACACTCTTGTCGGACACTCTTGTGGGATACTCTTGTCGGACACTCTTAAGGGACACTCTTGTGAAACACTCTTGTAGGACACTCTTGTGGAAAACTCTTGTAGGACACTCTTCTGGGACACTCTTCTGGGACACTCTTGAAGGACACTCTTGTAGGACACTCTTGTGGGTCACTCTTGTAGGAAACTCTTGTGGACACCCTTGTAGGACACTCTTCTAAGACACTCTTATAGGACTCTCTTGTGGGACACTCTTGTGGGACACTCTCATAGGACACTCTTGTAGGACACTCTTGTGGGACACTCTTGCAGGACACTCTTGTGGGACACTCTGTGGGACACTCTTGTGGGACACTCTTGTGGGACACTCTTGTGGGACACTCTTGTCGGACACTCTTAAGGGACACTCTTGTGAAACACTCTTGAGCGACACTCTTGAGCGACACTCTTGTGGGACACTCTTGTGAGACACTCTTGTAGGACACTCTTGTGGGTCACTTGCAGGACACTCTTGTGGGACACTCTTACACGACACTCTTGTAGGACACTCTTGTGGGACACTCTTCTGGGACACTCTTGTAGGAAACTCTTGTGGGACACTCTTGTAGGACACTCTTGTGGGACACTCTTGTGGGACACTCTTGTGGGACACTCTTGTAGGACACTCTTGTGGGATACTCTTGTCGGACACTCTTAAGGGACACTCTGGTGAGACACTCTTGTAGGATATAGGACACTCTTGTAAAACACTCTTGTGGGACACTCTTGTAGGACACTCTTGTGGGTCACTCTTGTAGGACACTCTTGTGGGTCACTCTTGTAGGAAACTCTTGTGGGACACTCTTGTAGGACACTCTTGTGGGACACTCTTATAGGACACTCTTGTGGGACACTCTTGTAGGACACTCTTGTGGGACACTCTTGTAGGACACTCTTGTGGGACACTCTTGTGGGACACTCTTCTGTGACACTCTTGAAGGACACTCTTGTAGGACACTCTTGTGGGTCACTCTTGTAGGAAGCTCTTGTGGGACACCCTTGTAGGACACTCTTGTGGGACACTCCTATAGGACTCTCTTGTGGGACACTCTTGTGGGACACTCTTGTAGGACACTCTTATGGGACACTCTTGTAGGACACTCTTGTGGGACACTCTTGCAGGACACTCTTGTGGGACACTCTGTGCGACACTCTTGTGGGACACTCTTGTGGGACACTCTTGTAGGACACTCTTGTTGGATAGTCTTGTAGGACACTCTTGTGGGACACTCTTGTGGGACACTCTTGTAGGACACTCTTGTGGGATACTCTTGTAGGACACTCTTAAGGGACACTCTTGTGAGACACTCTAGTGGGACACTGTTGCGGGACACTCTTGTGGGACACTCTTCCAGCTCCCCAGATACTCCGGGTACTAAAGTTGTACTACAAGGTCGCCAGTTCTCAGCTTCCAGCTCCACAGATTGCTCCGCGTACTAAAGTTGTACTACAAAGTCACCAGTTCTAGTGCTCGCCTGCATTTCGCGCGCTCGACACGCACGATCTCCGCAGAGGGTTGCGCGGGCACCGGAAAAATTGCACTCTCGCCTCCATTTCGCGCACTCGACGCGCACGATCTCCGCAGAGGGTTGCGCGGGCACCGGACAAATCGCACTCTCGCCTGCATTTCGCGCGCTCGACACGCACGATCTCCGCAGAGGGTTGTGCGCGCATGTGACAAATCGCACTCTCGCCTGCATTTTGCACACTCGACACGCAGGATCTCCGCAGAGGGTTGCGCGCGCATGGGACAAATCGCACTCTGGCCTGCATTTCGCACACTCGACACCCACGATCTCCGCAGAGGGTTGCGCGTCAAGTCTCCAAAACCAGCGTTTCGTACGAGACGTCCTCAAAAACTCACACGTCAAAGTCTGCAAAACGAGCGTTTCGTACGAGACTTCCTCCAAAAGTCAAGCGGAAACACCCATCGTTGCACACACATCACGCAGCCCTGCCAAGCAGTTTCGCGATTCCAGCCCCTCCAAACAACGTCCGCTCACATGCCAATCCCAATGTGACAGCGACATTCGCCTCTATCAACCTCACGATTCCCTGCACCTGCCACGAATCTTTCCGCATCCACACGTCTAACGCGCACAAAGTACTGCGCCTGCCACGGAATGTCACCTCCGTCACACCTCGCAACCTCACGATTCCCTGTGCCTGCCACGAGAATCGCACTTCCACGCCTCAAAGCCCGCACAAAGTCCTGCGCCTGCCACGAAAAGTGACAATATCATCTCATGTGAGCTTCAACAAAATTTGCACCACACCACACGTTTGGAATGATTTCGACCCGTTCTGAGCACACCCCCATCCACCAAAATCGCCATTTCAGCTGAGACTTGTCACGAAAACCGAGCTTCGATGCCACACCCTGAAACGCAAATCCCAATGGCACGGCCACATCCAACACCCCAAAAACACGACTCTCCAAACGCTAATCCCAATGGAACTGCGCAGCAATCTGCGGATCTCACAAAACGCTGCGCCTGTGCAGCGAAATGCATCACGTTTCTTGCGCGACATGTCATTGTCATGCAAATCACAATGGAATAGCGGCGCAAACTGACACGTGACACGTCCATGAAAAGTCACTTGCAAAAGCTTCCCCCAATGGCAGCAAATTTGAGACGCGACGAGAGACGACGAGACGACGCAAGCCAAGCAAACACAGCTCCAACCCCCAGACCCCCAACTATAAACGGGAACCCTTCGCTACGCATTCGGGAAAAACAATCCACCATGCCCTGGAATTTGGATGGTCCCTTCGTCCTTCTTCCATGATCATCCGGCTGGGCCCCTTCGCGAGGCCAAATCCCAAGGTCGTGCAGAGCGCGTGAACTCCTACAGGCGACTGACTCCACGAAGCACATTCCCGCTCCATCTCCCCACCCCGGAAACTCCAAAGGCCCGAAACGCGGAACACTTCTGCCAACGTGTATGTGAAATGGTTTGAACATCAACGAATGCGAAACACATCCCAAGCTTCCAGGAAAATCCCCAAGCTCTCAAGATTACAGCTTGGTCGTTGTGGAAACCCGTCGGTTTCTGGCGCTCTGGAGGAGTCTGCGTCGATTGGCCCTGCTAAAGGCTGGCAATTTGCCACCATCTTAGAGTCTCAAGTTGTTATAGGGTGGGGACTCAGTAAATGCAAGCAGCCTGTGAGTTTGCTGAGTGGCCCTTCATACAAAACACCAAGTCACCTTCCAAGAAGAACTTAATGTTGCAGTGTCCAACTCTTGGCTAGCAGCGACCAAAACACGCCAGTGGGAGACAGCATGAATGAACATCTAACAAACTCACACCAACCCTGAACATTCATCAGAAACTCCACCAGGGAAAAACTCTCACGCCATTCCTGGGGGTTGCTTGAACTCATCTAAACTCTCAAACCGGACCCCCTTTCCTGAAATGGATCTATATTCTGAAGTCTATGATGCCCAGTTGGTGGCGGCTATGCCTGGACAGCTCCGTGCAACGGATCCCAAAACGGCGGCAACGCCTTGCTCCACTCCATGGTGTCCCAATATCTGGCCGCGCCCGGAGGCCTGAAGGGAGGCACGAGTTGAAGAGTTGCGAGTCTCACATGGCTGTGACAAACTGCACCTGGCAAAGAATCTGCAGCAAGAACCATGTTACGTTGAAACATGTTTAGGATGTTTAGGTGGAAGAGGGGTTCCCACCACGATCATCACACATTCTCATGGCGCGCACCCAGCCCTTCTTCGAAGTCCGAACGATGGAGCTGTGGCAAGTCACCAGGTCGGCGCAACACAGCAGGATATCTAAGAGAGAGAGAGAGAGAGCCACTCCTGGAAGACTCCAACTACGTCGTACTACATGTGCCTAATGCTGACTTTTTGGTCAATTCAAAACCCCCATATATGGATTGTAAAGCATGGTTTAAACCCATTATGCACACAAAAAAACTGGGATATGGGATATGCGGATGTATCTAAATACCGTGGACCTTTGGCAATCCCCATGTGATTCGGGATATCTGTGCGGATCACCAGTGCTGGTCGCCAAGGGGCACTTCAAAGGCTGCGGTGCCGTCGCCCTGAGCGTGGCAAAGCATAGAAGGCCGCGTTGACCCACAAAGCTGATACCTTCAAACAAATTGCAATATAATATATAGTATGATACAAATAAGTATACTTACTAGTATAATCTAGTATGTATTATAATGATACTTATATAATGAATATATATATATATATACATATATTAGGAATAATTGATGTCTTCACCAATGTGCCATCTACTCTGATGCATGGAGCAGTTGACTTCCACCCTGCCCGCCCTCCAAGGGCGGGTCTCCGAGCCACCACGCCGGACCCAACGATGCCAAGCCGATGACCCAGGTGAGCTTCTCCTGGAAGCGCCGAGCCGTAGGCTGTTCGAGCGCCAGGCCGCGGTCTGGACCACGGGTCCTTGACCCTGACGGAGATTGCTGGAAAAAGAAAGGCTTCACTGAACTTTCCACTAGTTCTATAGTTTAGTGGTGAAATAGATCCCGTTTTCCAGTTCTCCTAGTTTTCCTTGGTAGGTCTCAACATGAAGGTAAATCCTGAGGGCGCTACAGCACCTTTATGATCCTTTATGATGATTGTCAGTCTGTGGGACCCTTTTGGACAGGAGACTGTCATAAGGGTAAGGGCTTTCCATGTCGGCAAGCCCGGCAAGCATGTGCTCATCAATGGCATGCAGCACATCCACTTCCACGATCTCACAACCTCCATATGCACTGTATACAAAAGACTGCAATTACATGGATTCCTTTGGATATGCAGTGTCTGAGTGAGTTCAAAACTGCTCCAACTCCAACTCAGGCTGCATGAATCTCCGTTTCCCAACGGGGTTTCATATCCATACTAGGAACAAGAAGCTACCAGGGTGGAGGCCATCGCTATTAGGTTGGAGGAAAAAACTAGAAGCTACATAGGGTGGAGACCACCATCTCTCCTTGGATTGACGCCGCGCACGGGTCAAAAGGTTGTGGCCCTCAGCCTCCAAACCTTGGGCTTCAAACCCGGCAGAAGAAGCGGAACAGGTGGCACCAGTGTGGAAACACGGGGCTTGTCCTGTGCGCCCGGCAAGTGCGAACAACAATGCATTGAATCTATTGACTTGATCAAACTCGTGGGATTGTTGAATCATGGGCTTAAAATGGCTTCAATTTCTACCCCAAGTCACACCCGATGAGAGCTGGCTTTCTGGTGAATGGTGAATCGCTTTGTTTTTCTCTCGGCGTCCCTGTGCTTCAAACGGTTTGACCAAATGGGGTCTTGGCGGGTTATGGCGGGTTAGGTGGTTATATAGTAGGTGGGTCTTAGGGCCTCGAGAGATCAGACTAACTTTTGCTATCGGTTTCTGGAGAAACGATATCTTGCCTCCAGTGCCAGGCGTGGCAAGGCGTGGCATATGTGACTGGTTTGTCCAATTAGTCACCTACCTGCCACTTGTCATACTCAGCTGGTACTTCAGCTTTGCTCTTAGAGCTCTTCGATGCTCTTCAAATGTGTTCCGTGATCGAATGGACAGGCGGCATACATGCATGCATGATCAGCCTGGACAGAGGTCCTCAAAGTGCTAATCATCATTGATCTTCACCCAGTCTCATGAATCAAACTTCTTTACATTCGTTTATGTACGGCACCTGTTGAAAGGGTCTTCATCTTGACTGCATTGATGGCATTTGCAGGAACCTTGACCGCAGACTCACCCACCCCCTTCCGGCATCTGAGAGCTCCGGCGCCGTAGAGTCTTCTGACAGCCGGGAGTCATGAAGATGGGCCCAGGATCCTCCAAAAGACCAAAAAAAGTTCTTCTCACCAGCTTCTTCAAAGTGACTAAGTGACCTTGTACAGGCCCAAGTGACCTCAAACTGGGATATCAAAAGGGCACTTTGAAGAACCAGGCACAAAATGGGATTCTCAGTTGCACACGAAACGCTGTGTGTGAGTGTGTTGTGCACCTCTGAAGTTGATCCCCCCGCAAGATGGGAATGCACAGCAAGATTGGACTGCTCACAGTGCGAACAATTGGATGACACGGGATGTCTAAATGTTTCCTCTGAGGATCCAGAGTTCTAACCACCGAGGCTGGCCATCCCAATCTTATTGAGCCGCACCCGATGCAAACTCATAGCGTGTTGAGCATGGCAGCTGGGGAAGAAAAGAACACACCGTCATCAAGTGTTCCTGTTGTCTCACACCCGGAGGAAAGAAGAAAACGAGCCACGCTTCTCTGATTCTGACATTGGTCTGACCAACGCCAATCGATATCAGGTCTCTTTCACAACATGCCAAATAAACACGTCACCTTTTCCGCTGTTTACGGGGTCATCCATGGTCAGTTGGTCAGACGGTCAATGGATTGCTTCAAGGCGTAGAGGAAACCAGGGTTTCACCCCAATACCATGGGTTTCCTTTGGTTTTCCATGATTTTCCCTTAAACCAATTCTGGAGAGTTGGACGTTCATCTTGCGCTCTGCACCTTCTCGCCCCGCGACTTCAGCCGCGCGCGGGCGCGATCGCCTCGCAGAACGAATCGGCCATGGAGGGATCCGAGCGTGGTCGGCTTCCCTCGAACTGATCATGGAGGAAAATGGTCTTCCAATGTTGCCATGCCATCCACTTCCATGTTAGTTCCAGGGAGTGTATGTTTGGGGGGAGTGTTTTAATGTGCCCTGATCTGGGAACGCCTGCCAAATGCAGGCAGGAGAGAGAAAATAGTGGGATGAACTTGTGGGATGAATCAAGTGAGTCAATGGCAAGTACCCAATCCAGGAAGATAGTGGGCTGTATGTCATAAGTAGATTTGGAGTTGGGCAGCCCAGAGTCATCCACTCTGAGTCCCGTTCTATTGTGCTCTTCAGCCATTCGTTACTCACGCGGTTTCAACATCGACGACCAGGTTCGGGGTGCACATGGCCCCCTCTGCGACCGGGAACGCTTCACATGAACTGCTGAACTGCTAGATCCAACCTACTAGCCATGGCCTCCACCCCACGCTGCAGGCGAACTGCGGCTAACTGCGCTCTACTAGGCCCCCTGCGCTCCAAGTAGACATCTTCCAGGGCTGAACGATAGTCCTGCCGAGCAGCATGGCGTCAGCGCGTCAGCAATCCTAGAGGTGAAGCCGCACGACACTCAGCACAACATAGTTACCATGAGATGCCCCGACAGTGCAAAACCTGACAGCCCAAGGCATGTTTTCCCCCACGTTCATTCCCATGAAAAGCGACGCTGGAAGTCCTGTACTGTGAAACGGTGCAACCATCTGGTGCGTTCTCCGTGTAGCAACGCAATCTTTCCAACATGTCTCACTCCTATTCAGATTAAGTAGTAGCAGGTATAGGCCTGTGATCTGTAACCAGAACCAGTTCGGCGGCTTTGCTTGATCCACTCCACCCATCCACCAGTTCGGGGTCAGCGAGGTCAGCGGGTTGGGGGGGGGCCTTCACGTTGGACTCCTGAAGGGCCTTCTCCACCAACTCCTGAGGTGTCAGTCCACGTGTTGGAGCTCCGTGGACTGAGGTGTCAGGAGTCCCTGATGGGGGTTTTCGAGAATCGACCCGTCCCGGAATCTGGGGAAAATGGCACGCCCCCTGACAAGACCATGACAAAATTCATCCAGACCATGATCAGATGTGTTTGTCTTTCTTTGCTACTGATGGTTGGGTTTGCTCAAATGGGCATCGGGCGTCCCAGCTTGTAAAGCGAAAGCGGCAAGAAACATCCGCGTTTGATGAGCCTGGCGCTGGGCTTTGCCCAGAAATCCGTAGGCTGCCTGTGCTCTCGCCACTTGTGGGCAAGGCAGCTGAATAGCATTTCCTGAAGGTGTCTCAGTCCCAACAACAGAAATTGGGTTGGAGCCAGCAATAGCATCGGAGGGAATGTCTTCATCGGGCATTCAGCTTTGCTGTTAGACTGGGACACCTGCAAGCCCAAGACAAGACTCAGCACAACATGAATAAGGCCTGCATGGGACCAAAAGAACCGCATAGGAAGGATCATCCACATGCTTCTCTTTGATCCCAGGGATCCGCGGCGCCGGTGTCATTACTTAATTCGCATCCCATGCCTTCCATACTTTCCCGGAACCGTCTGCCATACCCCATCGAATGAGGCGACCCACTTCGCTCATTTGCTGCACACTGTCCATGGCACTCCAGGATGCGAAGAGTCCTCACAACTGAGACCTTTTGGCCACAACCATTTTTTTCCGTGGTTACACTAGGGATCACTATAGGGTATTGTCAATAATGGGATGTACATGGATGTACCCTTTTGACATCAGTCGATCCATCCAACTTCCCGAAAACTCCCAGAATGGCTGTGGTTGGGACACTTCTGCAGTTCAAGGACATGATCAACCAGTGTTGCATCATCAGCCCCAGTCCTGACTTGGGATCAAAAATCAATGACTGGAGCTCAGCATTGAAGTGGTCAATGCTCCCAATCTTCCCAAGAATGAGCTCCTTGTCCTTCTCGGAGGATGCTCCCATGTTCCGGATATCCAGCCTCCCCAAGCTCTGCGCACGCTGCTCAATGGCGGCCTTGGACAACAACTTCAAGGACTGTCGCATGTGCAATCGCTTGGCTTCAGCAATCTCCGCCACACACCAAGCGCGTTGAAAGAGATCAAACGATTGGTCGACTGCGATCACTTGCCTGCAGCTTCCAGTACTTGCCAGGTGATACATCATATCATCAAACTTATTGATCTCAGAGTCAGTGCTGCGGCCATCGGAATCCACAAGATTAACACAAGAACATCGACACACAGGATGCAGCTCGTTGGTCAAGGGATCTCGATCATACGGGTTGCTGTGGCAAATGCTCATGTGCTGGTTCACGGCAAAAGCACAAATCCAATAGCTCACATTCAAACGCCCAGTCTTCGTCAAAATCTCACGCAGTAAATGGCTATCCTCACGGAGCAGCTGTCCAGCCATCCTAAAGCCTTGGGCGACACGTGAAAACAAAACGTGGCCTCTTTGGGCCAACCATTTAAAGACTTAGAGGGCTCACGGGGTCCATCTTACACTTCTTATGCTTCTACACACGCAAGTTTGAACGAAGCTATCAACATGAACTGTAACGGTTTCATAATTGTCATTCCATCCCTCTGACTTGCAAATACGTCCAGTTTAAAGGCATGTTGCTAAGATGGTGCACTACCCTGAGCCTTTCCAATGGTCCTGATTGTCCCAAGCCCGCTTTGTAGCACGTGGCATCACAAACCAAAATCACCCCCTTGCTGGACATACAGTCTGCCAGGGGGTCCAGCATAGGCTATGGAACTATGACTGCAATGGCTACAACATACTCCTTTGAAAGAACTGTTTCTGTTTTTGTGTGTTGAGGAGTTCTATCAGGAGCGAGTTTTCCAGCGAGACAATTCCTCCTAGCGGCTGCATTCCTGCAGGTTGTCCGAAATCACAGCAGCTAAGAGGTCGTTGAAGTTATTTCCCCAGTTGTGTGTGACCATCACCTGGATGCGTGCACAACAGGTCCCTGTCACTAGCTACAAGTTCAAGCTCATGCTCGTACAAAAGACCACAGAAAAATCAAACACTCTCAGGAGTAGTGACCAGCGACCCACGAACTGCAGCAGCTGTCCCATGGGGCTAGATCAGCTTTGGAATTACTTGGTTTTGCGGAACCGGGGGAGAAAAAGGAAACAACGGGATGCAACGGGATTCACCCATAGGGAAAATCGACACCGCCCTAAGCAACACCAGCTATGAGTCTATGAGAACCTCTCTGGTAGAGGACCCCCCCCACGCCTCTGCTCGCCTGGCGCCTGCACGGTTCAAGGTGCTGACTGAGTAGGCCGTCTCTTCGGCACGGGTCAGAGGGATGATAGCGCGCCGCACGACATCCCCTCGGCGGCGGCGGGGTTGCTTGCAGATGGGGACGGCAAAGGCTTCAGATTCCACCACCTAAAGGAATAGTGGAGATCTTGTACTTGGGTGAAACAACTGTCCAAACATGCCAATCATCTAGATTGGCTGGCCCCAGCGAGAAAGAAGTTCAACACAAAAAAACAACAGTTTAAAGTGCTTTCAGAATTCCAGAGTGGCACATTTCAACGCTTAGGCTTTGGAGTTCTGAATTTGGAGGGTAGGGTAGGACAAAACACAGCGAGTCAGCTGGTGTCCACGCAAAAGAATCACACACTGCGTCATGATCGTAGCGCCAAGTCTCTGGTTTTGTGCATCTGGGGTACATATCTCCAGCCTGACATGGATGACAAATCCTCCTGATAGAAATCCAAGAAGCTGTTCAAGGTCATCCCCCGGTCATCCCCCGCATGGAAAGCTCTTCAACTTTTGCCTCGGCTCAAGGGGGGTTGCAGGTCACCGGCTCCGGCGTCGAAAGCAAGCAGCAAGGTCCGAGAAATGAAGCAGGGTCCAAACAGAATCAGCTGCTGGGCTCGTTGGCAATTCGGTTTTTAGACCACCCAAAAAATTGTGCCGATGTCCAAAGAGTTGCCACCCAAACTAGGTCTATAGAGTTTGTGCCTTTTGCGTTGACCAAGGAGCTTTCCAAGCAGGTGCCCATGCTGGTGCCGACTGCGCTGAATGCCTCATCCAGCTCCTTCCTCTGGAGCCCCACCCTCCCGAAGAAGGAACCAGTGGCTGAACCAGTCGATGCCCCCCCGAAAGAAGCAGCACTGCAGCGGCGTTGCCCAGCGCATCGAAGACTTGAACGAGAACACCCAGCGACACCTCTGGGCGGACGGAGTGCTGGTGGAAGTGCTACGGCAGAGCCGAAGCGCTGAAATATGCACGTTGAGGTGTGCAGAACGCAGTAAGTAGATGTAAGTAGTTGTGATTGCACGCATGGCAGGCATGAGTTCGTCGTTCCACCAGGGACTTTTCGGCGCGAGGTGAAAAAGCCCGATCGATCCCTTCAGGCGAAGGGTAGTTGCTCCGCAATTGGTAGCGGAGCCTGCTCAAAGAGCAGGCTCCCGCCATGGCTCGTTGAACCTGACCTTCAGGCGAAGGTCCTACGCATGGCAGCGATGACGTCTTCCACCTCGACTGAAGGTGGGCTCCGTTTCTTCTCGGGGGATTCCGAGGATGGCCGTGAGTACAAACGCTGGAAGCAATGGGTGAAGAACAAACTGCTGACGCTTGACAAGTTGGCGGAGGGCTCCAGAGGGGCCTACATATACACCCTTCTCTCTGGCAAGGCCCTGGAGGCCGTGGAACACTTAGATCCCGAAAGCTATCAGAAGAAGGGCGGCGATGATGCCCTATAGGCCATTTTAGACAAGCGATTCCCTCAGCAGGAGACAGTGGATGAGTTGGGGGAGATCCTGAACGAGATCTTTGGACTTCGCTCACATGAAGGCGAGTCCATGAGACAATGGACCGCCAGGGCATCCGAGCTGATGGACAAATGTCACCGCAAGACTGGAGTCTCATTCCCGGATGAGGCCAGGGGATGGCTGCTACTCCATCGAGCTGCTTTGACGGAAGAGCAAAAGGCGGTGGTGATCGCCAGGGCTCGAGGTGATTTGAAGCGGGAATCCATCGCCTCCGCACTTCGATCCTGCTACCCAGAGCTGGTCATGACTCGCAAGCGTGCGGGAGTGGCAATGGCCGAGGAAAAGGATGGGGGCGATGACACTGCTGAGATATGGGATGATGGTTTTTCCGACGTTGAGCAGTTGTTGGAAGACCACCATGCTGGTGTCGAGGCGGGACCCGACACCGAGACCTTCCAGGAGTCCGAAGTCGCTGAGGTTTTGGCCGCCACCTGGAAAGAGAAGAGGCACGAGTTGAACCGCCTTCAGAAAACTCGTCAGTTTCAGAAGGCACGAGATGTCAAACGAAGCTTTCGGGTGGAGATTGAGGAGATGAAGAGGAACTCCACTTGCAATCGTTGCGGCCGCAAAGGCCATTGGGCACGAGAATGCCGATCAAAAGAGACGACCAAAGGAGCTGGCAAGTCAAGGACTTCTGGATCTAGCGCTGCATCCGGTGCAGCGGTGGTGCAAGAACTGGATTTTGTGGCCTCAGTGATGGCTACGCCTACGCTGCTGGAGCAAGTTCGCAAGCATGTGAATGAGAAGAGTCAGCCCGATGCTCCAGCCACCACAGAGGAGATCCTGCTTGTGTCGTCCCCAGGCTATGGTGTCCTGGACTCCGGCTGTGGTCGGACCATTGTTGGGCAGACCACCCTCCGTGCCTTTGAGAAGATTTGGAAGCAGAAGGGATGGGCAATTCCAAAGCCCATCGATGAAGTGCATCAATTCAAGTTCGGAAATGGTGAAGTGGAGACATCCTTGGTCTCCATTCAGATGCCTGTCGTCTTAGCTCATCGCCGAGGTGTGATTCGTGCTGCAGTGATCAAGGGTGATGCTCCATTGTTGTTGAGCCGCACAGCACTCAAAACATTGGGTGCGACTCTGGACTTCGCACATGACAGCCTCCAGGTGTTTGGAAAGACAATTCCCCTCCAAACCAACAGTGCTGGACAGTATGTAGTGCAATTGACTGGGGAAGATTCCTTGTGTTCACCCGCAGCCGCTTTTACAGAAGTGATGGCATCTGTGGAGGCCTCTCCAGGTCCCACGGCATCTCATGAGCATGTTGGTGAGCCGCAGCTTGAGCCGGGGATGCCTGCGGCAAATGCCCCCGGGTTGACCTCGCCGTCAGCACCTGACACGGCGATTTGGGAGCAGGAGGACTGTGATGTCGCCACCACCCCATGGTTGTCTCGCCAAGGGCCAGCATGGAAGCATGTGTTTCGTAGGCGGGTAACCGACATCCAGACCTCGAAAGTCATCGATGATACCCGGATAGATCCAGGGACCCTTCAACACAAGACGATGGTAAAGTTCTTTGAACGTATGCCGCATGTGAAAACTGAGTTTTTCTTTGTCGGACAACCAATTGAAGGTGTCACGATGGAAGAGTGGCAACCGTCTCATCACCAATGTCGACAGTTGCATCGGCAGGCTCAGGCATGCCTCGCAGTTCAAGAGGGTAGGAAAATCAAACGATGTTTAGTCATGGAGGTGTTTTCACCCCCTCGGTTCACGACAGCCGCCGAAGCAGCAGGTTTTCGTGCCAAGTCATACGACCTAATAAACGGTTATGATTTCCGCCTCAGTCGTCACAGGAGCGCCGTTGAGCAAGAGCTCATGACGGAGAAGCCATGTCTTCTGGTGTTGTGCCCGCCGTGCACCGACGAAGGCGGGTGGATGCACTTGAATAGCACGAAATGGACCCGTCTGGAGTACCTCCAACGAATGGCACAGAGTCGTAGTTATATTAGATGGTGCTGTAAGCTTTTCAAGCTACAAGTGTCTCTCGGAGGTCGAGCAATGTTTGAACATCCGACGGGGTCTAGATTGTGGACATATCCTGAAGTTCAAGCCCTGTGTCGTCGGTTCACAACAGTCAAATTGCACATGTGCAGGTATGGGCTTCGCTTGCCTGAGAGTCATAAATTCATCCGCAAGAGCACCCGGTTGCTAGTGACTCATGAAGACATGTCGACCTTAGGTTTGTTATGCCCTGGAACCGGTGATCATGCTTCACATGACATAGTGGCAGGCAGTGCCCCAGGGGTTTCAAGTGTCAGTGAATATGCTGGACGATACCCACAGCAGTTTGTGCAAGCAGTGCTTCAAACCGTAGAGGCTTTTCGCATGAGCAGTCATGACTCGAGTCCCATGCAACCATCGGCGGAACCTGCAGTGTGCATTCTCGAAGATGCGATTCCTGAAGAGAGCTGGTCAGAGGTCTTGGCTGTCAATGCCCTGAGTCAACGAACCGATGCAGAGCTCATTCCGGTTTTGGTCAAATTGCACAGGAACCTGGGCCACCCACCAAATTGTGACTTGGTCCGGATTTTGCGTCACGGAAATGCCAGTGAACAAGCTCTCAAGTTAGCCCGTGAACTATCCTGTGATTTTTGTAAAAGCCAAGCCAAGCCAAAGAGTCCTCTTCCTGCACAGCCGAATAGGGTAACTGAGTTTAATCACCAACCGTTACGATCCCCAGCTGTACAAGGGAGAGCTGTTCCTACATACGACAACTGCTTATAGAACAGCTGTCGTTAGTCAACACAGCTCTCGGTTGATCAACAATGCATCATATTGTGTCTATATAAAATGACAATTGTCCATTCCAAACGACAATTTCCAGCTGTCGTTACAAACGACAATTGCCAAAATTGTTAATAACAACAATTGTCCATTCCAAACGACAATTTCCAGCTGTCGTTACAAACGACAATTGCCAAATTGAAGTTTTTCAACTCTAGCCAAAACAGTATTGGCACAGCGCTTGGCCTGGCAAGCTTCTGCTCAACAAACCTAGCTCCACTACCATAGTCACCATGGCCTGCACAAGGGCCACGCTACTTCCCCTCTGCGTGCAGCAAAGAACACTGATAGATGCTTTGGTTTGCTGCTGCCAGGCGCTAAAGAGTAGCAGCGCCTGCTGTGTGCCTTTGTAAGTCTTGAGCCGTTGAAAAAAGAAGTGGTGGGGATAACTCGTTGTCATTGGGTTTTGTGTAGGCATGTTTTCGGTTTGGTGCCCGGGTTGCCTCTAGAGGGTTGCCTGTAAAGGCGCATGGTGTTTGCACTGTGTTTGCCACACACGCACATATTCTCCACATATGCAAAGCAGAAAACTAGGTGACTAGATATACATGTTATATATATATATCTATGGTAAAAGGTGGATACACGCACCGCCGCTCGCTGGCCACGACCGTTGATGAGCTGGAGTTCACACCTTTTCGCCTGGAACCCCAGATGGGCGATCACTTCGAAGCCGCTCTCGCTTTTTCAAAGCGTAGGGACAAATGAAGAAAGTATCGCTGCCAAAACCTTTTTTTTAGAAGGCTGCCACTGTGACATTTGACTGCGATACGCTTGATGTACCCCAAAAAACTTTCGTCGTAAAAGCATGCCGCGACCATGCGCGGGTTCAATCTGTTTCTCAACACATGTTGAGAAATGTGCTGCAAGTAATGGGTTTTTGGTCTCAGCCGGAAAAGGCGAAACCCTTCAGTTTGGCATCGGTGAGCCAGGTGTTGCCAACACTGCAAGTGCTTGGTGAAGTGGTCGTGCACTGCCTGCGCCATGCGGTTGCTTCGTGAACCCCTCCCCCGCGCGCACACACAAACACACAGAACTTGCATGCAAGGAGACTTGAAAAAGAAAAAAGCAAAAAAAGGTTTGAACACGCTCAAACCTGCGCGTCTTGCTCTGGCAAAATGTAGCTATTGTGGTCCAGAACGTGCAACGCTTGGTGCAGTGACCACAGGCAAACAGCAATCAAAGCAGCGTCGGTGTCCTGCGTTTAGACTTTCAGATTTTCATAATTAAGCACCACTGGTGGGGTGGAAACACATATCCTGTAATTAATACAGTGTCAGCTATATAACCTTTTCACCTGGCCTCAGCGTGTGCAACTGAAATCTCTTGGGCATATGTCGCAAAGAAGGAAATCACCGTTTTCATAGCAGCAGCCTTGAAGACGCTTCCAAGCTCAGGGTAATCGGTGCTGTCCAAACCTGTGTTTGAAGGAGTGAATGTTTTGCAAGGGCCTTGTAGACCAGTCTGCTTGGAATACGCTTTCTGCTTCATTGAAACATTGGAGAGCCGTTCTGCAACGTTTCTGCCCTCTAGATACTGCTTCTTATTCCAGAAGCCGAGACAACTTGCAATCACTTCCTTGGCCGTTCCAAGGAAAATAACGTG